ACTTACAAGGACACTTCAAGACTTGTGTGGTTATACAAGCAGCAGTTACCAGGGGAGGGAAGACGGGATGACGTTCAGTGGAGCTGCACAGGGCCTGCAGCAGGGCAGTGTTCTTGACGTCACCCAGGCTGGGGTGGGCTTTTCAGTGACGCAGCTGCCATTGGGTCACCTACACTTTGATAAGTAACCCCAATAAACTTGCTGTCTCACTGAGCTAGACTCGGGTGTAATTTGGTTTATGGTGGGTGACCTATGTTGGGAAAAGAGTTCCCGTCTCCTCAGGAAAACAGTCGCTCAACAAACCCTCATACCAACATTTACATTCTGATGGTCAGTTTGTTCACCGTCGCTCTACATGGAACTCTGCACAGTGGGACTTTTCAGGATTTATTTTTTGATTCTTTTAAAATTAATTAATTATGGGGGCTGGAGAGATGGCTCAGCAGTTAAGAACACTGGTTGTTCTTGCAGAAGACCTGGGTTCAAATCCCAGCACCCTTATGGCAGCTAACAACTGTCTGTAACTCCAGTCCCAGGGGATCCGACAGCCTCTTCTGTCCTCTGCAGGCATTGCACGACATGGGTGCACTTACCTACATGCAGGTAATACACACATACACATAAAATAAAAAGAATAAATAATATTAAAAAATTATGTGTGCATGTGTGTGGACATGTGTGCCACAGTGCACGTGTGTGTGTGAGAGGACAACTTGCAGGAGTCTGGTCTCTCCTCCTACCGTGAGGGTCCCAGGAAAACTAGGGTTTTCAGTCCCTTTTGGAATTTTTAACTTTTCCTCTGCTACCAGACCGAGGACCCCCCGCTCGGCAAGTGGAAGACCCTCCTTAGCAGGCTTGGCTGGCTCCAGTCACAACCAGCTTCCCAGCATGTTGGTTATGGGGCACACGGGAAGAGTCACCATACCTTCCTTCCCCACAGTCCTCGGTGCTCAGGAGGTGGCAGTGTGTGGAGCAGCAGGGGTGGCTGGGCACGGGGGCCTTACCTGTGGTTGTGTGGGTCAAGTTGCTGTCCGCTGGGGTGGTGTTGTTGCTGGTGCCAGCCCTGGTGAGTGACAAGCTAAAACTTGCCAGCAGGAGTGGATGGAAGGCCTCCATGGTGCACCTGCAAAGACAGGGACCAGCTCAGCATGCTTCTGGAGCACAGGCCCTGGAGAGGGCTGTCACTCAACAGGGAGGAAAAAAACCAAGAATGAAGTTCATCACAGCTCTGCAGGAAGCTGAGAACTCTACCAGCTGACTTCTCAGGCTGTCAAAGAAGACACATCTCCCCTGTACCACGGTGGTGCTGTTGCTGCCATGCAGGTCCATCCAGAGGACCCCAGGCTCACAGCACCCACCTTGCTGAGGGCTAGCCAGGGCAGAGTGGGCACTAGGTCCAGGCCTCTGCCTTGACCATGCTGCTGGCCAAGATGCCTCTGAGTCACCTGACATCCTAGGCCCCCCCATGCTCACTTATTCCCTTACATACCCATTCTCTGGCCAAGTTGTGCTTTGCCCATCAGCACAGCCAGCGTTTTCCACCTGCTTCTTGTACCCTGCTTACTCAGCCAGCCAAACCCACTCCGTCTGGACCTGACTCAGGAGCCGCCTGGCCTGGAAGGCTGCCTCCAGGTAGGCCAGCTTCAGGAACTTCCTCTACCCTTCTATGGCAACACCTCTCCATGCTTATTCCAACAGCCTCCTCCTGGCCTGGCCTCTGACTGTGCCAGTCTCTCTCTGAGCCTTGGGAGGAACTAAGCATTTACTGAGTTGAATGTATGCTGGGTACAGACCCAGCAGCAAGGGGTTCAACACGAGAAAGGCTCTTTTACACTAGGGACCCACAGATGGTTATCTTGGGTTTCTACTTGGCTCTCTATTTTGCCCAAACACCTTCAACCATTACTAGAGTGACATGACTAGCTGGTGGTATAGGAAACCCTGCTGGAGGACTCCTGGCCAATGGGGACAGGCAGTGGTACCTGTCCAGCGCAGACATGTGGTCCCCATCTATAGTCAACCTAGGGGGGTCCATCCATCCCCCCTGAGAGCGGCTTCCTGGCGCCTCCGTGAAGGATGTGAATGGACCAGACTTTAGAACTGAGGTCAATAGACACTCATTCACAGACTGTTCCAACAAGAAGCAACTAATGTTCGTAATTGCAGAAGACGCGGAAGGAGCACCCCTCCCCCCACCCCACAGTGCTTCTCAGAGAGCCCCAGCTGCTCCTGGAGGGGTAGGGACTGGGCAGAATCAAGCTGCAGGCTTGATGGGCCCATGTTGGAACCCAGGGCTGCTGGGGACATACTTTCACCTGCAGCCGCTGCCCAGCTCCCCCTTGGCAGGCAGCTCCACACACATCACCTGACACATTGCCCTTCCTCTTCAGTCTGTCACTGTTTGCTGCCATGGAACTTTAAATGCACTTGAAGAACGCAGAGTAATTGGTTGGGAAGTATTAACTGGCTTAGTACAACTCCAGAGACGCGGAATTCCCGGGTGAAACGTTGTTCCTCGCCCTGTGCATTAATTTGATAACCCTCATCACCAAGTGCTCAGTGATCTAAGAGGAGGCCTCACCCTTGAGGAAGACAGCTCATCTCCTCTCCCCAACCACACGTGGAGGGCTGCAAGAGCCTTCCGGAGCTGCACTTCCTGAAGTGACCAGCAGAGGGTGAAAAGCTTTCCAGACATGGAAACCTGTTCAGCCATCTGGTGCGTCTTTACTGTTCACTTGTATTCCAGGACCAGTGACAACCTGTCGGAGGATTCCTGTCCATCCACTCTCAAAGCCTCTCGTAGCCTACTTGTAAGCACAGACACGAATCTGTGCAGAAATAATGTGTGAAAGAATTAAATCCACGCCGAACTTCAAGGATTTGCAGTTGAATGGTACTCGCTGTGTGCGGGCCAAGCGCTAAGCACGTGCAGCCTGCAGAGCTGGATGAGCAGAGCGTCTATTCCAAGCAAAGCACACTTTATTTTTACCCCACTCAAAATTCACCCATCTATCACTTTGATTACAAACCCGTCTTTATTTAACTTAATACTTTTCTAATACTTCCCAAGGGTACCCCAAGGGTCCAGCACCCTGCTAGGACATGGAGATGAAAAGTTGAGCTTGGCCTCATCTGTGGCCCGAGGCAGCTCTTGGAGCCAGGTGAGCAGTGTAATGTAAGGGCAACACCCAGCAACCACCCTCCATGCTGTGGAGGCAGGGCCACAGCTAAGGGACCAAGGTGAGTCAGTGACCATGCAACCTGGGTGTCAGTCAGATGAAGCAACCAGCACATGGCCCAGAGCTTTCAGCACAGGGAGGGGCTCAGAGGCTCGAAGGAAGCTGGGCATGACCTATTGTCAGGGCAGTTTTTGTTTTAGTAGAGCTTTGGTTCACAGGGGAGCTGAAATAAGTGATGGTGGAAAGTCTGGGGCTGAATTAAGAAGGCCCTGGAATGCTGCGTTGCGGAGGGTGGGGTGGGAGTTGACTTGATCCCCAAGGCTCATTTTCTAGTAACAATCTGTGTTGCCAGAATCACATGGGAGCCCAATACACAATGTTAGAAATCCAAATACCTGAGAAGTGGTTTATATGCAGAGAAATGTGAAGACCACCGAAGCCTCCCTCCACCCCTGGCATCTCAGCCTGCTTGAGGATCCTCAAAGGACCAGCTGCACATGAAGAGAACATGGGTGCAGACATGGAAGGTACCATATCTTTCCAGGACCACTGTCCCATTCCCAGGATCCTCAACTTTGGCTCTCACACCATTCTGTGTGTCTCAAGGAACCTGGACAGTGAAAGTCCTGGGGTCAGGCCAAACCCTTGTACTTACTGACAAGTCCCCTCAGTAGAACCAGCTTCAATCAGGAGGACTACATACCTTCAGAAGCATTCCCAGACAATGGACAAGTGCCTTACTCTCACTTGCAGCACACATACCCATGGGTGCTCATCAGCTAGGTCAAGGTACCATCTACTCAGAGGCTGTGGTCCAGTGCAGGAAGAGGGCACCAGTGCTCTGAGATGATAGCTAGTCACTACACAGGTCCCAGGTTTGCCCCTTCTGGTCTTTACCATGCTTCGTCCAGACACAAACTCACAGCTGTGAGAGCTTGGCTGTCTCTGTGTGGCTATGTGCATGTGAGTGCAGGTGTCTTAGGAGGTCAGAAGAGGGCGTCAGATCCCCTGGAACGGGGGTTAGAGGTGGTTATGAGTCACCTAGTGTGGGTGCTGAGATCTGAATTGGGGTCCTCTGAAAAAGCACTATGTGCTCTTAACTGCTGAGCCATCTCTTCAGCCTCAGTATCTGTTTCTAATACTGTTAGATATGCTTTCTAGGAAATCAGGACAAAGTAGCTCACCTGGTAAGACTGTTATTTTTTAATGCTCTGGAAAAAACCTACAATAAAATGATGCATTTTCATGCGATAGGGAAACAAAATCCAGACCTTTTAAAGCTTTAGGTGTAAATACACTTAAAGGAATGAAAGATCTAAACAATTAAAAAAAAAAAACCATTTATAGTAAAATCTGCAGAGGCAGTGTTTGGAGGTACCCACCGTGACCTGGCCTCTGTGGAGATGGCTTTGCTTATTAAAAAGGAAAAGATTCAAAGGGGCAGGCATCTCAGCTCCATGGATGAAGGTTGGAACTTAAATGCCTTTGAACAAAGGTAACTGAATATGTCTAAATGCAAACAGATACATCTTTTAAAAGGTTGACAAAGAGCCAGGCGTGGGCGCACACCTTTAATCCCAGCATTCGGGAGGCAGAGGCAAGTGGATCTCTGTGAGTTTGAGGCCAGCCTGGTCTACATAGTGAGTTCCAGGGCAGCTGTGGCTACAGGGAGACCTTAAAAAAGGTTGGCAAAGAAGTCCTCACATTAAGGAAAAAAAAAAAAAAAAGGCAGAGAAGAAGGATTAGGAAGGGTGAGGAAAGATTGGTCTCGGGTGTTCCAACCCTGCCTGGATGTCCCCTGGCAGATGTCCTCCAGGGTCCAGGCAGGGGACCGGCCATACTCTGGATAAGTAAGAGGTGACTGGCTGGAGGTGGGTGTATTCTTGGGTATCCGTCACTGAAGATGCCGGGTAGGGACCGGCCAGTTGAATGGAGGGAAGAAAACAGGAGGGAGAACGAGAGATGATGGGTGACACTTGATCTGGGTCCCCCTAAGGAAGAACCTGTGAGCCTACGAGCCTGTTGGCAGGTCTGTTAGGGGATACTTTCAATTTCCTATGTGGTGCATGCTAATTTACACAATTCCAATTACACACCAAGCCCTCTTGAAGACAAGAAGTGAAGAGCTTCTTTTCTAAGAATTAAGTCTCTCTTTCATCCAGACAGGACCAGTCAGTGGAAGTCACAGGAACCTGCTCAGAAGCACATTTTCACAGACCCTAAAACCATACTTGGACTCATTTAATGAACAACCAATAAAGCCTATGGTCAAGTACTGGTTTAGAAAGCAGGAAACATAGAGCCTTTCTCTCGCTGGCCCAGATGAGGTAGATGCAGTCAGACTCTTAGGGATAAGCTTTGGTTTTCCCCGGAAGAGCAAATCAACATTTCTAACCTGAAAGAACAAAGCCAGGAAGTTTCTGAAAATCCACAACTTAAGTCTGCATGGGGTGGGGGGGTCACATGAGACCAATGAATGGGTGCCACATAAGGCTTCAGATGGGAGACCAAGCTCTAATGACTTAATCTCAAATGCTGTGAACGGCATATAATATCTTACAATTTTTCATGAGCTTCAAAAATTACCAATAATTGGGATAAGGGCAATAGCACAGTGGGTAAAGTTTGCTGTACAAACGGGTTTGGATCCCCAGAACCCACATAAAGCCAGCCAGATGTAGTAGCTCATATTGGTAATCCCAGCCCTACTACAGTGAAATGGGAGACAGAGACAGGAGGATCTGAAGGCCGCTAGCCTGGTGCACACAGCGGTCAGCAAAAGACCCTGCCTCAAACAAGGTGAACTGAATGGCAAGGATCAACAAGCCAAGGTTGTCCTCTGATCAGCACACATGTGCCTACCTACACACATACACTCACGCACACACAAAGATAAAACATTATCAATACTTAACTTTTTCTGCCTTTGTAATTGCTGATGGTC